ATTGTGGTATGTTGGGCACTTCATGTATCCAATGTCTGATAGTAACCTATCAAACCTCTTATATCATTGTTTTGGAGCCTACTTCAAGTCATAGAGGTTTTTCTTCAACCTACAAATAAAATCATCTTTATTTATATCTCTGTAACCCTACAGTTGCACCATGTATCATTTCTCTCTGAGAGTTCCATGAAAAAAAGGCTGTTGTTACATCTATCTGCTCCAAATATAAACCTTCCTTTGCTACCAAGCTCAGCGCAACTCTAACAGTTGTCATCTTCATTACCGGAGAAAAAATTTCAGTATCGTCCACTTCTTTCTGTTGAAATCCCTTCACAACAATCCTTGTCTTTTAGCGTCTACTACTATCTAATTTGTCTTTCAGCATGTATACCTACTTGATGTGTGGTGCTCATTTGTCATCTGGTAATACAGCCAAATATCAAGGGTAATTTGACTCCAAGGACTGCATTTTATCATCCATGGAAAACCTCCACTTCTTTAAATTTTAAACTTGAGTGGCATTCTCAAAGCACTCGTTCACTACTATCAACAAATAATAAAAATATGAAGAATACCTCTGTGTCGGTCGAATAGCACTGTTGAACCTCCTGACTTCAGTGGTCAATGACTTGAGTAACTTCTTGTGTTTTATCTAGATTGAGCATTTCTTCTTTCTCATCCCTCCTAATCACCACAATCTTCTATCTCAACATATTTAAACTTTTTAGAAGTAACCGATGGACAATCCTAAGTTTTGATCATGTCCTTGTACATCTCAATTTCATTGAAAATAACATCTCTACTCTGATGAACTTCTGATTATAATAGTGTCGGAATTTATAACCAAATTCATCTAAGTCATGCCCAATGAGAGTGCACTTGATAGATTTTAAGTCAAGTTTACTCCCAAACCCCGCATCAGTATGTACATATGGAGAACAATCAAATACCTTTAAGTCTGATACATTTATCTCTTTGACACTACAGACTTCCTTGGATAAGTCTTCCTTTAAAGGTATTGTCGAACCACAGTTGATCAGATACACTGGTGTTCACAACTTCTACCTAAAAGTGTTTTAGCAAACCTGCATGCAACCTCATGCTTTTGAAATGCTCCGTAAAAATTCTATTTATGCGCAACTACTCCACTCTGTTGGGAAGTTCTTGGAACAGTGAATTTGCGTCTGATCTCCAATGAATCATAGTAGTTACTGAAAATCGTATCATAATACTCGCCATCATTATTTGATTTGAGATAGTTTAGCTTCAAGTCAGCCTCATTTTCTACCATGATCTTTCAGATATGCTAGTTTTTTGTTTTAAGAAGTAAACTTAGAAATTTTTTGTGTGATCATCATTAAATGTGACAAAGTAGTCAGAACTTTCAATGGACTGGAATGGAGTAAGGTCAAATACGTCAGTATGTACTAACTCTAGTTTCTTTGACATCTACAGATTTTAAACCCTGAAGTTTATTTGTTGAGAGTAGGGACTTCATACACTTTATGCTCGCATGGCAAAGCCTACAATGCCATAGCCTTGCATCCACTTTGATTCCAGCCACATCAATGAAATTCGTTATTTCATTGATCAACTGGCCCACAGAGATCAATTTCTATTGAGACTTGGAGCATGTCTGACTTCACTAAACTTTCAGACTAATTCATTTGGTAACTTGATATCCACATCACCCTTTCCTACTATATTTCAGGTCTTGTTGAAGTATAATTGTTAAATATTTCTTTGTTGAGGCATGCATAAAAAGAAGCTCATGAATCTACAATCCAGGATTCAATACTGACAAGGGATAACACCAAGGAGTGAACTTGGATTTCTCTTATGAAGTCATTTGTAGAGAGAATCTTTTCTTTCCCTCCATCACCAGCCTTCTTAGAAGTTTTATAGTCTTTTTTGAAATGTTTTTCTTTCCACAGTTTCAGCATTCTCCTTTGTTATTTCCTCTGCTTTACATAGACATTCCTCTTCTGGACTTGAATCTTTCTGTCTATATTCCTGTCCAGATTCATTCCCCTATTAGCAACATTCAACGCAGAACCTAAAAATTTACCATTCTCCGCCTTTCTACGAACTTCTTCATTTAACAAAAATTCAACGATGTCATCAAAGTTCAACTTCATATTCGCTGAAGTATTACTGTTGTGATCAGACCATCCCAGTGTCCGCTAATGAAGAAAGAATTAATAGTTCTCTAACCTCATCATCAAATTTGATCTCCACAGAACACAATTGGTTAGTTACAAAATTGAAATTGTTTTAAGTGTCGAGCCACTAAATTTTATTGTATCATCTTCATCTTGAATAACCTCTTTATCAGAAAAATCTTATTTGAAATAAAAAATTTTACATGCATCTTTATCAATGCTACCATGATATCCACCGTAATTTTCTTATTCACTATATCGAATGAAACAGACAAAAAAATGACAAATGAATCAAACATATAAACGTTCAACCCAACACTTCACATTCCTCCATAATCATCGATTTTTTCTGATATGCATCGTCTTGGTGATTCCTTTAGTGGCAAATACAATTTTTAGGAGTCTTGGTGATTCCTTTAGTGGCAAATACAATTTTTTCTGATACATTAGATCTTCCACTTGCATCTTCCTGAACGCGAAGTTCGATACATTGAACTTCTCCACTTTATATCTCGCTTCGTCGGCCATAGCTCTCACTCAAATCAAACACCCCACTCTGATATCACTTGTTGGGATGGAATATTCACTTAGGACTGCGATTAGTTCATAATCAAATCTACATCTCAAACAATAGGAATACAAATTCAAGAAATTCGAAGCAAAAAAATCGAACAAAAGCATAAGTAATATATGAAAAGCAAACCAGGATTTACGTGAAAAACTTTGAGAACGAGAAAAAATCGCAGAGCCACACCAAATGAAACTTTCATTATAAATGAGTGAAACGCGCAGATTATATCATGCAGATCTTCTCTCGACAATCACTTGAACTTACAAAAGTTCACTCTAAACCTTCCTCTCAATCCCACAAGCGAAAGCCATCACACTTAAATCACCCTCTCGATAATTCACCTTCAAAAAGAACTCTTGTCGAGAAACACCACAGACAAGAGAGTTTCACTTCATCCCTCGAATCGAAACTTAAGAACCGAATCGAAAGAGAAACTATCCCAGGCATAGTCACACTATCCTTAGTGTGATTATTCTATGTGCTTGGTACTGAAGCCAAGAAGTGAACGAATTGCAGCGTGGTTATGCCGATCTGGGCGTGGTATGCCGCCCTCCACTAATTCTTGACGTATCCTTACGGTTATGGGTGCTCTTCCAAACTACATACCTTTACATCTACAACATTATTAATAAGGGAGAGGCGCTCGAGATCCTTGGAACAGTGAGGAGGGGACACCTATGATCTTTAGTTCTATTGAACATGGTGGCAATGCTGAGTTCATGATGCTAATTAATAAATTGAACATCTATTGAGAGCTTATAAGGACAAATCGTATCAAATTCAAACAAAAGACCTCAGGCTGAGGCTCCAAGTTAATTTTCATTCTAGATAACACAGAGACAGTAACAACGTTCCTGCAACAATTTTTGTCAGAGATTAGAATGATCAATTTCCATGATTAATCACTACTACAACATTAACAACAAAAAATTGTAGAGACTCTTATAGGGTCAAGTGATTCTATAGTAGCTTCTTTGCCAAACTTAAAGCAAGTAATTTTGGAAGCTTTGGAACAAGGGATTACAACAATGCCCTCTCTCTTAAAATTGGTAGATCCCTGGGGACAAAATCATATTTATTGAGCCGTCCTAGGCTATGACGGCTATGAGCTACTTTCACGGAAGGTAGAGTCTCATATGAGACTGTACCCGTTGCTACACCCAATTTGCAGGGAGACGACCAAAAACAAAACTTTAAGATATTGTTTTAGAGTTGAGATGACATAATCCACACACAAACATGGATCCATGTGTCTTATTTTAAAGCTCTTTCATCTCATCATGAGGATACAACAAGTAGAAGACGTGGCCACTTTATGTTGACCTCTTCATGCAGGAAAATATAACTTGTTACCCATTAGGCAAGGCAATCCAATTAAAGTATCAATCCATATTTGTGAGCTAATCCATGAACACTTTCTAGTCCAAATAAACATAAGCAAATGGGGGTTCCACCATAACTATTTGGGTAATGTCATCATTAATATCTCACTCGTAATGTTGTATGGTGGCATAATGATGACCAAAATCATAAAAAACTTTATTATGTCAGGTGATGACATTGGGCAAGACATAAAGACAACATATTGACCATAGGTAATTTTGACTGGGGTGGTCGATATAGAACATCATCTAAATCGAGTAAATCATAATAACTATCCAAATGATCGACTTAATTAAATCGGGCACAAAGAGGGGAAGGGGGAGAATTCGAAATTACCGGGTAAACACCCTACTCAATGGGACTTATAGAATACATTTAACATTTTGATACTTATACACGCCCTCCAAAATAATCATTTCACAACACCATACAATAATGCTGGTTATCATCTTGTGCTTTTTGCTTGAAAAACCATCATTCCAATCCCAAGTTCAAATGAGAAAGAATGATGATTCATAAGTTCACATGCAATCATAAAATATACGTCAAAATTCATGAAATCCAAACAAACCCAAAAAAAGGAGGGTGAACCAAAGTTTTCCTAACCCTGATGCTCTAGCAGATAAATTGAAAAAACATGATAACCAAGTCATGAAAGTAAACCAATTCTACGGAAGCCTACATAGGAACAAAAATAAACTTCTTAAAAGTTACATGTGAAACATAAGATCTTCATAAAACATGACAAATAGAAAGTATGACTCCAAGTAAACATTTTCAATAAATAAACGCATGGCAGAGAACTCACCTAATATCTATGATTAAACTACAGGGATAAAATTATAAAATAAATGAACCAGTAAACTAAGGTTGCAACCTACAATAAATACAAACTTCAGAATTTCTGGAACAATCATGTGCATTATGATCAAAATGCAATATATATTAAAAATCAGCATTATAGCATACAATGGGAATCAGAAGAATCTCCCTTCTTCTCACCAAAATCAGATAGTTCAGAAGGACAAATGATAGGTGAATTCTCCATAAAACTAAATGCCACTTTCATGAAGTCGTCACTCACCCCATATTCATATGGCTCAAAACTCAGAGTTGATAGATAACCACGGTCATCATCAAACAATTTTATATCCACATCATCATTCAAATAATTCGTTGAGAACCCATATCCATTACCCTCTAATCCAACATGCTCTGATGATCCCAAACCACAGCCTTCTTCACTGGGCAGCGCGGGAGAATGGCCTTGGAACAAAGCTACATGCCCAAACAATTTGTCCTTCCTAGAAAAGGTTGTTCCACAAGAGCAAAGCCACTTATCACACCCGCAGTGCTTCTCATGAGTTTTAAGATCAGCTAGAACAGAGAACTTCTTGGAATGGCATTTACTACATATATAGGATTTGTCACAGTGAGTCCTCTTATAGTGGTTCTTAACGCAAAGCAGTGTCTTTAAAGGTTGGAAACCTTTGTGATCCTTGTTCCTCTTGCACCCAACAAAAGGGCATGAGTACCTCTTGATAAGCGTGGGCTCGGAGTTCTTGCTTGGCTTAGATAGAGCAGCTGGGGTCTTGTACTCCTCACCATGACCTCTCATATGCATCCTCAAGTTCGCATCTCGCTTGAATCCCTTTCCGCATATTGTGCAAAAATGGGTGTGCGGCGCCAAAATCTCTTCTTTTGCCAACTGTAATACTTCGTAAGATCCGAGTAAGAGATTATCCGTCTCCGCACCATCTTCGCTTTCCTTGGTATCATGGTCTTCAATGTGGTTCGCTTCCCTTCCATCATCCTCACTTTTTTTCAGCTCATTGTATTCCCCTGCACACTTTTCTATCTCCAGAGTTGGGGGATCATGGTTGGGGAAAGGAGCATCAGCCTCCAGTTGAGTTGAGGGATCAAAGCTATTGCATGATTGAGCGGGAGGAGAATTGGAAGAAAAGAGGTTGTTTTTAATGGAAGGAAGAAGGTTTCCTGCCGTTGAGATTAAGTCAACTATGATCGAGGTAAGGTCAGTGGTTAGAACTTGCTGCTGAACAGCGAATTCGTTCGGGAGAGAAGATATTTGGCTCTTCTGGTTGACAATCGAATGGACGACGCCCTGAATGTTGTGGATCTTTTGTTCGAGGAACGATAGATTGTTGAGCATAGTCTTCGCATCCCAACAAACATTCGGATCTTTAACTATCTGGTGGTTGGAACGATTCCGGGGATGAGATCCTTCAGCCTGAGAGTTGAAATTGAAACTCTTTGATGTCGTTGGCGTGTACGATGGAATCAAATTAAGGTGTTCGAATGAATTGTTAGCAGAACAAGAGCTGGTTGAAATTTCAGAAGGCCAAGGAGTTTGCTCCATTTCAGCAAACTCGGAACTGAAGTTCATCCCAAAACTGCTAGCTTCTGTAAAGTTATTTAAAACGAAAGAGTTAAAAAAGAATCCATGGCGAAAGGAAAACCTAATAAACCTACAAAGATACATGAAACAGAATGAAAGTAATTGATTGCAGAAAACTTAGATTGCTGCTAAAGAAACAATTCAAAATCTCATTTTTACAACATCTTAATCAGAAAATGCAAATCTTGCAAAAGATTATCTTCGCTAACTGATCATTGTCCCACTTGCATCATAGAAAATATGAACAAGACCAAGAAGAAAGAAAAGGGCGAGAAAGTGGAGAATACTTCTGTGAACTTACGGTAAGGATAGAGCATCAAATTCAAAGAAGCGGGTATCAAAAGAGAGATGTCCACCGAGATTAGCAAAGGGATTAAGATCAATCTCTGTCAAAATCGCTGTTTTCTTATACCTCTCTACCTGGATCTCGCTTAGTGGACACAACGTCGAAGAAGGTTAAAAATGTGAACTATAAATAGAAATTGTAAATGCGGGTGAAGTCAACTGTACCTCCGAAACATATTGGTAAACCAGCTCCGCCAATAATGTAAATAGTAAATTTGCATGGCTAAGGATTCCTAGGAGCTTGCCACTGCGAGGTTTCCATTTTTTTGAAAAGGTTTATTAAAAGTGGCTACTGAGATATTAGAATATGTTTAGTTTTTGGAGTTACTTCCTCTTGTAAACTCTTTTTCTGCTATGATCCCTAGTTCTGTGATACTTCTTTTCTTGAGTGATTTGGAGAAACTAACAAGTTGGTGTTTAATTATAATGTTGCTTCCCCTTTGTCATGTATTACTGGCTATCAAAAAAAACTTGTCATTCGCAAACAATTAGCATTCAATTTGCTAAGTAGTTCGTTTTCGATTAGTTTGCTATAAAAATGAGTCAAACACAAACGGATTTTTTTTATCTCGTTTCAAAAACAAGCCGAACACAAACAAACTTTCGGTTGATTGTGTTTAGCTCGTATTAATTAAATAATAAAAAAATAATATATAAAAATTAAATTAATGATATCTTTGATATGATTAGCGCTGCAAAAAAAAAAATTGTTGTTTGAGAACAGCTCGTGTTCAATTTGTTCGTTAAGAAAATGAACCGAACATGAACAAAAAAAGAAATAGCGAGTCGGAATACGAACAAGCCTTTGGCTCGCTCAAGCTCATACACCCCTAATTGTATTAACTCTATTTACAACATCTATGATTATGGAGGGTATTATTTGTTCTTAGAACTGTATGAATTATGCTCATAAAGTTGTTTATTTTTTCTTTAGGAGTCTTATTTTATTCAAAATTGGTTAAAGTTTATTTGGTTTAAAGGGTATGCTATCAAGTTTGATTATCTTATGTGAAAAATCTAGCATAAAATGCTTAAAACTTGTAACATTCTTGTTAATAGAGGCATTTTAGATAATCTTGTTTGTGTGATTTGTTCTTTTGAAATGGAATATCATTAACATTTGCTTTTTAAATGATCTTTTTTTTTTTCACATTTTACTTTGCCGTTGTGTTCCCAATCGGAATTTCTTTTTGGCTCCTAGTAATTTTTTTGAAGACATATACTATGTTGATAAATTTTCTTGTAAGGTTTGGAGAAAATTTTTAGCTCATTTTTATTCATTATATAGCTTATTATATCTGATTTGAAAAAATAAAAGGATTTTTAATAAATATTTGTAATCCTATTGAGATTGTTTTTTTAAAATATTCATTGGATTTTGTAACATAAGAGTACGAGATGAAAATTTAAGAATGATAATCCTTCTACTGTTAATGATCTTTATAATCTTTAATTGTCATATAGTTGTTTGTTTTTATCTCTACCTGGCTTTCTTTAGATTTAGTTTGATAGTTTAGATACTTCTTTTGATCTAGTTGATGCATGAAATTGTTATGAAGCAGTCATCAATCACACAATTACACATGCCTCTCAAATAATATACACATTTGAATATGTGTGTCAATCCCACAAGGAAATTAGTAATTTTCTTAGTTGGGGAAATTCTAGTTTATTAAACCTTAAGTTTAGTTTAAAGTGTTTCAATTTATAGAAGTTGAAAATATTCTAAAATCCTAATGGGGACAATGAGCTACGCTTTGGAGTTTTGTTAGAGATGATGAAAAATTATACTCATGTGACTCAGATCATGTGAATCATTGAAATTCTTTTATTGAGATCGACACTCAAGTTTCTCACCCTCTCCAACTCTCTAAAACTCTCTCTAACAAAAACCCTCAAACAACTCTCCAAAACAAACCTCAAGGAGAAACCCTAGGGCTCCAAGCAAAGCATTCTAAAGTAAAAAATGGCAACCTCCAATAGCCAGAGCCCTCTAGAGCTCTCTAAAACCATTCTTTATATATTCAAAGCTCCATACATCATTATAAAACTTCCAAACTTGTCAACCTATGTAACGAGGTACCCGACTGTTATCACGTGGCGCAAGTTTGTTGCCCCCTCAATATGGGTTGTGTGAGAAGGGAAAACAAAAATTTCTCCTTTTAATAGGTATGATGTGGGTGAGCTGAGAGGGGTAGTGTAGGTTTATTGTCTCCTTGGTTTGGGTTTCAAGATGGGTTGTGTGAGGAGGGAAAACAAAAATTTCTCCTTTTAATAGGTCTGATGTGGGCGAGCTGAGAGGGTAGTGTAGGTTTATTGTCTCCTTGGTTTGGGTTGTGCATCTGCGTTGAGTGTAGCGCAGATCTGCCCCTACATTTAGCACGGGTACACACTGGCTAGCACAGGGTTTCCACACTTATGATTAGCCTAGTGTGAAGTGTCGAAGGAGGCATGGATGTGTCAGCCTTAGTTACTATAACTTTAGGTTTTATTACCATTAACACATTCATTTCCAACTAACTGTAGTAAGGAACCTAAGCACACTGTAGCACAATAAATTTTAATTCAAAATCACACAAAAAGAAAATTCAAAGCAACAATATAACAAATCATAATGAACTCACCATGTAGTATTTGGTTTAGCATCCTTAGATCATTAATGCAATATCTACTAATTAGAATGAACCCAAGTTAATACATTCTTAGGACCCATTCCATGACCTCCTAAATACAACTTCAATCTCTTTGGTTATTTTACCTTAAATTTTTTGGCAATTTTCATGTCATGGATGTATACAACGACAAAAGGATAAACATTCACCAAAGTGAATGGTCCTAAGCACTTGGACTTGAATCTTTTAAAAAATAGTTTTAATCATGAATTATAAAGCAAAACCTTATGTCCAAGTTTAAAATATTTTCTAATGAACTTTTAATCGTGCTAGTTCTTCATAAGCTTGACAATCTCATAAGCTTCCTCTCTAACTTCTTCCAATTTGTTCAATTGCAATAATCACTTTTCTGTCAATTCCTTCATATTGTAATTAATTTTTTTAAATGTCCAAAAATTTATGCTCCAATTCCACAGCCAAATGATAGGTCTTACCAAAAATTAACTTATAAGGAGATATTCATATAGGTGTCTTATAAGCAGTCATATAGGCTCACAAAGCATCATTAAATTTTAATGGTCAAGCTTTCCTATTTGGATTAACAATTTTTTTCCAAAATCCATTTGATTTTTCTATTAGACACATTTATTTTTTCATAAATCTAGGCATGATAGATAGTAGAAATCTTATGTTTGGTTTCATATCTTACTATTAATGTGTTTATCCTCTTATCATAAAAATGGCTTATGTCGTCACTAATAATAACCCAGGTTCTGCATCAAAATATATTTCTTCAATAATTTTTAAACACTCTAAGAATCATAGTTGGGAAGATCCATAGCTTTGATCCACTTAGAGACATATTAGATGGACAACAGCATATAGATATTCCCTAATAAAGACACAAAGTGTCTCACGAGATCAATTTCTCAAACATAAAAAGTTTCAACCTCAAAAATGAAATTTATAGGAATTTTATATTGCTTAGAAATATTGTCTACCCTCTAACATCTATCAAAACTTTTGATATATTAGTTCACATCCTTAAATAGGGCAATTTAATAAAATTTATATAGTAAAATCTTAGAAGCGCTTCTATATACTCTGACATACC